TGATTCAACACATGAGAAATATTCTAATAATTTTTTTGATTCTATTTATAGCATTGGTATGAATGAAACTAGCGATTTTGATTTTTCCGTATATGCCATCCATGGAAACGCTGCACTGAATCATTATACCCTGAAGGTTGAGGTTAACGGAGTACAAATAACAACGCTGTGCGACACCGGCGCTCCTTGTTCTCTAATGTCAGCTAATACATTCGATGCGTATTTCGATCGAAGGGTGCTACAGCAATGTTCAGTACCATACACCGGATACACAGGTAACCTGATTAATATTATTGGTGAGTTTAAAGCTTGTGTTAATTTCAATGGACAAAAAATTTATGGTAAATTTGTAGTTACAAATACAGACAGGCCAACCTTATTAGGGCGAGACTTTCTTCGTTCCCTAGGTTTTGAGTTAACTCAATCTAATTTGAGTTCAAAAAAGGAATCGTTTTCTTCCGGTGAGCTAGGTCTGAATTCTAATACTAGTAATGTTACTTCCAAATCAAATTCAGTGAATTATTTAAACACGTATAATGAAATAATTGAACAAATTAAAGCAGAATTTGCTGAAGTATTTCAAAGTGGTTTGGGTAAATACAATATATCAACAATTTCTTTACCAATTTCGAAAGATGCAGTTCCTGTATTTTTCAAACCAAGACCTATACCCATAGCATGGCGAGAAACAGTTGAGAAAAAACTAGACGAGTTAGTTGACAAAGGAATGCTGGTTTCCGTCGACAATTCAGATTGGGGAACACCACTTGTTCCTTTGCTTAAACCATCTGGAGAAATCCGGATTTGTGGTGATTATAAGGTCACAATAAATAAATATTTGAGTGACTTTAGATACCCCTTACCTCGAATTGATCAAATTTTCGCATCAATGGAAGGAGGTAAACTTTTTACAAAGTTAGACATGTCAAACGCATACAACCAACTCGTGCTTGACGAAGATGCACAAAAATTATGTACCTGGAGTACACACAAAGGCATTTTTAAAATGACCAGGCTACCATTTGGTGTTAAACCAGCAGCAGCCATTTTTCAAAAAGTAATGGAAAACCTGTTGCAATCTATTAAAAATGTATTCGTCTATCAAGATGACATAACGGTTACAGGTGTTGACCTAGCTGGGCATTTGAAGACATTGCGATTGGTTTTGACCAAGTTAAAGTCAGCTGGCTTGAAACTTAATGTTAACAAATGCGAATTTTTTAAAACGAAAATTTCTTACTTGGGATTTGACATCACAAAAGATGGTCTAACCAAAAACCAAGATCGAATCCAGAACGTGCTGAACGCACCAAGACCACAAAATATTTCAGAGCGTCGAGCATTCATAGGAATGGTAAATTATCATTCCAAGTTTATTCAAAATTTCGCAGAAAAAATGTGTCCTCTGTACAAACTTCTTAAAAAAGATGTCGATTTCAAATGGAACTCTGGCTGTCAAAAGGCATTTGAATTAATGAAATCAGAGATTTGTTCTGACAAAGTTTTAGTACATTTTAATCAGGAACTGCCATTAGTTCTATGCACCGACGCATGCAACACAGCCATTGCTGGAGTTTTGTCTCATAAGTACAAGGACGGCACAATGAGGCCAATTGCTTACGTCTCTAGAGCATTAAATAATACGGCATTAAATTACAGCACTATAGAGAAGGAAGCATTAGCCATAATCTTCAGCGTGATCAGATTAAAACAGTATTTACTGGGTATGCATTTTGTACTACAAACTGATCATAGACCATTGCTCGCTATTTTTGGTGATCGCAAAGGTATTCCAATAATGGCAGCTGCGCGAATGCAACGATGGGCGTTCATTTTAACTGGATTTAATTACACCATCGAATATATTAAAGGTTCTTTAAACAGCGCGGATAGTTTATCACGCATAGGTCAAATTGAGAATCCGGACACTAAGCCTGAGAGCACATACATCAACTATGTGAATTTCGTTAATCCGCTTCAGCTAGATTTTCTAGCAATAGCTAAATATACACGTCGCGATGCTATTCTTTCTAAGGTCGCAAACTCCATTTTAAATGGTACACTTTTGAACTTGGGTGGTAATGAATTTAATGCATTCAAAACCAAAGCATCTGAGCTGACTGTTGAATCAGGATGCATTTTATGGGGTTATCGTACGGTTATTCCGAGTAAATTACAAGGAAACGTGCTACAAGAATTACACAAATCGCACTTAGGTATAGTTAAAACAAAATCTTTAGCTAGATCATATGTGTATTGGCCAAATATTGATAAAGATATTGAGAATATGATAAAGACTTGTGAACCATGTCAAAAATACCAAGCAAATCCGGAGAAAAGTTTTTTAATTCCATGGGAACCAACTTATTCAGCTTGGAAACGTATTCACGTGGATTTTGCTGGCCCTGTCCACGGCTATTATTTATTTTTGATAATTGATTCTTTTTCGAAATGGCCCGAAGTTTTCAAAACAAAGGTCATAACTGCTACATTCACAATAAATAAATTGCGGGAAGTCTTCAGTCGTTTTGGGTTGTGTGATGTACTGGTCAGTGACAACGGAAGACAATTTACTTCTTTGGAGTTTCAAGCTTTTGCTAAAGCAAATGGAATCAAATTAAGTCGCACTGCACCAGGTCATCCGTCCACTAACGGACAAGCAGAAAATTTTGTGAAAACAATAAAAAAATCTCTTATAGCAACTTTAGAACAAAATGAAGTGCATAATTTTGATGTAATTTTACAACGTTTTCTATTTGATTACCGAATCACAAAACATTGCACAACCAATGAATCTCCATCAAAACTTTTGCTCAATCGCGAACTTAAATCTCGATTCAGTCTTATGCAGCCACCAACTACTAAAGATATTATTGAGTCCAAGCAAATAAATGCAGTTAAAAATTACAAAGGGAAACGCAAAGTAAACTTTTCTGTAGGTCAAAACGTTTATGTTCGAGACTACAAAAATCCAAATAAAGCAGTTTGGTCTCCGGCTGTAATACAAAAAAAACTAGGTCCAAGAAATTACACTTGCTATTTGACACGCGATAAACGTGACATTAAAAGACATCTTGATCAAATAATTAATCGTTCCGATGTTAATACTGAAACATTGTCTGAGGAGCCTTTCGAGGAAACGAATATACCGTCGGAAGCAAGAGCTGTTGTGAAATTTGAAGAGCCGCTGGTTGAGATTGACGACCTTTCAGAGGAAGATGATGTATTCAAAGATGCAAGCGATTCTATTCCATATAATATTGAAAGACGTGAAACGAGGCAAACAGCTGCAAGAGCTAGAGTAAAAATCACAGAACAGATTGCTCCTCAAAGATTGAACAAAAATGACAATCGGAACAATTAATATCGTTACTTTTCTTCACATGAATTCTAAATCATAATTGTAAACTAGTCATAAGAACAATCCAAATAATGAGTTATGAAATATTTCTGATTTATTTAAACAATTATCTTTAGGAGGAAGTTGTTAAGTATAAATATATATACATAGTATGGCAACGCTGAGAATTGTCATTCTCCCACTTATCCATATTTTGACATTCGTTGTTAGCTTTAAGGTAACATGTGCTTTTAATAAAGAACTCTCCTTCTTCTTTGCTGAACCTTCGACTATTAAACATCACATGTAGGATGCATAAAAATGAAACTTATGCTAAAACTGAATCTGCAATTCTAAAGTTTTTCTGTTTTAAACGTGAATGTAAAATTTTTTATCAGGACCTTTTGAAACGGTATATGATGGCTTTGTACACTTAATTCATGTTGCATAACAATTTTTATTTTTAATATTTAATGGGGCAATTTTGATAATACGAATAAAATTTTTTTAAATAAAAAAATATCAAATGGCAACCCTAAAACATGGCGTCAGTGATCCTTAAATGCACCAGCTTCTGATCAATTTTCATTCGGCATTTTTATTCAAGTTTCTGGTGACGAATTGAATATTTATTGAAATTATATTAAAAATTTAATTTGAAATAAGTTCCGAAAGCATATTACATGGTTTAAATGCCATTCATTCACCTTATTTTGCTTTCATATTTTAAAAACAATTTTGAAAAAAACACGCTTTAATGTGCAGGTGGCAACTCTGCCTAACTTTGAAAAAAAAAAATAGATTAAAACATATTTTAGACATACATATGTATTTACTTTTATCGGTTTTGGCAGATTTTTATTAAGTTTATATAATTTAAACAATTTTTAATTATATCCTTTTTTAATTTATTTCAGGTAAGTGGCATCTCTGTGATAAAAACCTCATACACCCAAAAATTAATACATATAAATATTTTTAATCGAAAGGTATGTATGTAGATAAATATTTGCTTTTTTTTTAATTTGCTGTTGATTATTTAAGACGTTGCAATCAAGAAAAACTGAAACATTTTTTGCCGCAATTACTTATTTCGCTTAAGCGATGGAAAAATTTCTATATTTTGTAGTTGCAAAAAATCGTCAACAGACATTAAAATTTGACTGGCTTCGTGTAATGTACATATGCATATATTATGTAAAAATTGATGGTGGATTAAGTGCATTTAAGAAATTCATATTTAGCCTTAGCTTCTTTTCATTTCAAAAAGCTGCGAAATATAGAAAAATCACTGTTTCAGCAACAAATACGACACATTATTTATGTGTATAGTATATCCAACGTCTCAATAACCCCTTTGCACTGCCTTCAGTAACCGATCACTAGATTAGCTTATCCGCTTGGTTATTCGCCTCACATTTCTTCAACTCCTTTTGTTCTGTGCTTTGCTCTTGTTGTTGCTGTAGTAGGTGATGCATTTCATTTCTTCGTACTTGCTCCGCATTCGCAATAGCGCTGTACTCCTCCATTCACTCCTGCTGATTAGTTCCTCTCTGTCCTATGTTGCACGTCTTCTGTCCATTTGTAATTGCCAGTAATTTTCTGCTTGACACGTCAGCAACTTGATAAGTAAAGCTGCCGCATACGCAGAACTCTTTGCAGTTATAGCCACATAAATTACTTTCGCATAATTAAACTGCTGCTGTGTTGATTTTAAAAATAATGAAAAGATGTAGTAAATAAAAGCGCAAACTTCAAGAAAAGTGTACAAAAAAATGAAAGTAAAAAAAAAAATCGCTCAAAATTGGCGACTTCAAATAGCAAACTTTTGTTAATTGCTGTAGACAGCTTATGAAAGAGTATTACAAAAGAAAAAAAAAATTACCATACATTTGTAGTAAAGGCTGTTATGATCGGTAAGGAACCAGTGAAACTCTCCTTCATAGAACATTTGTCGCTCTTCTTTTACTTATCGAGGTTTCACTTAATAAATTGATCTTATAAAGAGCCCAGGGTGCCATAAATCTTACATTTGCGAACACTCTAAAGCCCTAAACGAAGAACTGAAAGATGCTTGAGTGGTTTCTGGCCTTCGACGATTTTATCAGGGAAGGCCCTTGCTCTCTAAGAGAACCCTGCCTTTGCGTGATTGGTTGGCCGGTAGTAGCATTGCCCGAACATTGGCCGAGGGCCCAATTAGAGTTGTAACTCCCATTCTATTCAGCGTTTTCTCGAACTTCTCGCATTATCAGCTGTCACTTCTCGTTGGTATCCTCAAATTACTTGGATTTGCCGATTTATTCACTTATGTTGGTAATGAGGTATTTAGAAATCTCTATAAGATTTTGCATGAAGAACTTGTGTAGTAGTCTTTTACGTGCCAGCGGTGGGAAGACTGTTTTCCTACTTTCTTCGAAATTACAGCTACGACACTTGTAGTTGTAAAGTAGGTCCATTTTAGCAGAATGTTCACCAAGGAACAGCTAGTGCCTCGAGGATTCACAATTTTGCTTCACTTCGCTAATGGTTGTCCGTTATCTACATATTTCTAAACACGGATTCGAGAAGAGTGCGATTCAAAGCTATTGAATCGGCGGTCGTGTTTGAAATCTTGAATACTTTAGAGTTTTTTATTGGCGATGTCAGAGCCTGAAGAACTGCTTTACTATTTGAGTAAATGTAGCATCTACCATATGTGCTCCTTAATGTGGTAGGCGAGGAAACTCGTCACTCTACAATATATTTTGTTCCTATGCAAACGCAAATTTAGGTAAAATCGGATCTCAATTACTATTTTTTTTGCCACAGCTTATATGGTGATCTGCCAATGTGAAGCGTCCAGTATATGAAAGATAAAAACAAGGCTAACAAGCTCTGGCAGCTGGCTATTGTTTCAATAGCTAATCTAGACTTTAATGAAAGTTGTCCCAATAGCTCCTGGGCACTAGGTACTTACGCTCTTCATAAAGTCATTGAACATTTTTTAAATCAAATAGATGCTCTCAACTCTGAAAGGACTGGGAAAAACGAACGAAACCCCTTTATGGGGCAACCCTTGTATACCATTGAACTTGGCGTTAAAGTTGAAAACAAATACAACAAAAACCAATTAGCCAATTACCAATGATGAGTGCCCATTCGAGTTTTTTTTTTCGTAAAAAAAACCATTTATGCAACACCGACATCGAGTGACCTTTGAATAGTACTGGTTGGAATTTTTCTCTAGAAAAGGTCTTATATCATGTTAATAGGCATGTCTAGAGTCGCTCCAACCATATCGCTATATAGAAACATATTGAAGGCTATATAAAGACATATCCAAGCTGGGGGTCTACTCTGTTCTGCCATTCAAAAAGCAAATCATTCGTGCCACCTTTCGAATCGAGAGTAGACCC